TGTGATGGGGCTCGGTTCATGAGGATGAGGTTGAAAGAGGTTAGACTGTTGGGATGAAGCCAGATTTCACCTAACTCTGGAAATGAGGCAGAAGGCCGACTATAGACTTTATTTAGGCCGGTGTTTCTCAAACCTCAGACTACTCATAAATTTGGATTATCTTTCTGGAAACTTAGTGCTACACAGATATTTGGGGCAAATCATTCTTTAACTCATGTACTAAAACAAACATGGATTTATTTTGGGGTAGCATACAAACTTGGCATGCCTTTAACAATAAAATATGCATACTTAAAAAGATTTTGGCTTGTAGCAGATCACTTTGATGACACCTTTACACCCAAGGAGCAAATGGTATGCATGGATCAGACACGTTGAGAATTTCCTTAGGCAATAGGAAGTGAAACCTCATTTTCTGAAGCTGTGCCCTGTGTCTGGAGCATCTTTTCTGCCCCTCTGAGCATTTTCTTGTCCCACTCCACGGGCTGATCTGACATCCTGGACTAGTGGAGGGAAGTGGTTATAGGTCACATTATATTGATCCATGCCAAGGGAGGCATTGTTGCTTAATATCAAGTGGTAGGGAATTTGTGTAGTCCTTTGTAGATTGATTTCACATTATTGTTTCAATAGCCTTGGAAATAATAATTATTACTTTGATTTATAAATGAGAAAATGATGGGTGGCAGGTTTTGTAAACATGTTTGTTGAGGCCTTTCCAGAAGACTTCTATGTTAGGACACAGGTCCTGGCACGCAGGGCGTCCAACAGTTGTATTTGTGTGTGCAGACCTTTATTCTGCAGGTGCTTCATGCCACATGCGATCTGCCAGCCTTAGAAAAGGCATGCTGACCTTCTTAATTCAGTTCTCCAACTTTTGTCAATTGGTGCATTGCTGGGCAATATTTAATGACAGCTTTCTGCTCCATATTTCTTTCTTTCTTTTTTATTTTTTGTTGATTCTCACCCGAGGATATTTTTTCTATTGAATTTTAGAGAGAGTGGAAGGGAGGAAGATGGGGGAAGGGAAGAGAGAGAGAGAGAGAAACAGAGGGAAACATTGATGTGAGAGAGCCACATGAACTGGTTGCCTCTCATACTGACCAGGGGGCGGGGGGTGGGGAACAAACTTGCAACCCAGGTATGTGCCCTTGACCAGGAATCGAACCCACGACCTTTGGTTGTGCGGGCCAATGCTCTACCACAGAGCTATACTAGCCAGTACCAGCTCCAAATTTCTTATAATTAACTTAACTGAAGTCCAACAGAATTTAGGTGGGCAATTTAGACTTGCAAATCCCTGTTTGTCTGTCTCTGTCTTTTTCTTTTCAGGTTATTTACAACTCTGGCTTACTTATAAATATAACCATGATTTGAACCAAGAGAATCACCTGCTTTTATTTAGTAGGGTATCCTATATAATAAAAGCCTAATATGCAAATCAACTGACGGCAGAACGACTGGTCACTATGATGTGCACTGACCACTAGGGGACAGGCGCTCAATGCAGGAGCTGCCCCCTGATGGTCAGTGCGCTCCCACAGGGGGAGCACTGCTCAGCCAGAAGCCAGGCTCATGGCTGTTGAGTGCAGTGGCAGGAGCCTCTCCCGCCTCCACTGCAGGCAGGCGGTAAGGAGCAAGGGGTCCTGGACTGCAAGAGACCCAGACTGCAAGAGGGATGTCTGACTGCTCGCTTAGGGGATTGGGCCTAAGCTGGCAGGAGGACATTCCCCAAGGGGTCCTGGTCTGCAAGAGGTAGCAGGTGGGCTAAGTGACCCCCCTTCCCCCCTCCCCCCCCCCAGTGCATGAATCTCGTGCACCAGGCCTCTAGTTTTAAATAATAAAATATTCCTTACTGTGTTCAAACCTCATGAAGCCCTGTCTATTTTAATGCCAACTTACTGAAGACTCATTAGTAATTAATGAAATCATGGAGAATGGTTCATGGTGACTGACACCTTCCTGGCAACCACAATCCCCTCTTGTACTTAGTCGAAATGTCACTGGCTCCACAGGTTTGATTTGAGGGGTGGAGTAGGTGGGTGGAGGGGGAGGGAATTAGATTACATAAAGTTTCACAACAGCCATCAGCCAGAACAGAAAGCTGTGAGTATGTTCCTCCAAGTCTCTCTACTTGGGATAAGTTTTCTCAAAAATCTTCCATTCATCTGGTGCTGCTTTTAAGAAATCCTGCTAATATCATCTTTTCACTAAAATGGTGTTGTGTGGCTCAACTCAGTTAGCAAAGATGTAGTGTTGAAAGTCACCCTCTTTCCCCCCTCCTGTTTTCACACATTTCCTTCTTTCTTGGCATTGACTAGATTTATTCTCCTCCTTCTCCCTTTTAGGAACAGAATTTGGCATAAATAAATGATAACTGAGAAAATGGTATAAACAGAAGAGTAAACACGGGGTTTCTCCAGCCTCCCACTGCAGGTCGGGGTAATTTGTTGTAGCTAGTGGTTACGTCCAAGGAAGATGGCAGTTCCAGCGGCTGCTATTTAATTTGTGTTTTAATAGACCCCCCATTCTTTCCTTAATTATTCAAAATAAAACATGACGCCCCCCCCCCAAAGCCTTTCAGACTGCTAATTCACTAAAACTGTTGTTAAATCAAAATGGACTACTTTGCCAGGATACTGCCCACAAAATGGAATTTGGTATATTTCATACTCCAATGAATTTAAATTGTATGGAGCTGATCTTTAATACAAGTGCAAGTACCAGCGGAATCTACATACTTAGTCTGCTTTCTCGAACTCTCAGAATTAAGCAGGTGATCTATGGGACACAAAGGGACCATCCTTCTCTCAAAGAGAATATTTCATGACCAGGCAGCTTAAAAGGCATGGGCATAAACAACTGTTTGCAGCTCCCTTTCTCTCTCATCTTCAGAAGGTAAAAAGTATATATAAGAACATGCTGTTTTAGACAAAGCATTTTAGAAAATCACTTGAAATGTTTTCCTTTTTCCCTTGACAACTGAACCTTTGATAGGTGCTCAAGAGCGTCCTTACAATTTAGTTTATTTTGCTTCTACTATTTTTTTTTCAGGGGGGACAAAGGCCCAAGTGTGAAGGCTGCTTTCCCTTGAAGTGGGAGAAATCTCACTGCTCAAATCATAAAAATCATGGTTTTTACACCATGACTGAACATGACTGGCATAGTGTCAATTTTAAATGAACAGCTAAGTTTAATTTTACCATTATACCTTTGTAAGAACTTCACCTAGACAGATGATTTAAATGGAAACATATTTTGCTACATCCCTTATTTCTAGTTTCTTGACTCCTAATACATGGTCACTTTCCATTTAGCCATGTTGATATTTGGAAAGCCATTATGGAAATGACTTGATTTTTTTGGAGTATATGCCTCACATATGAAATGTGCATCCACATGTCTTACTTCCTTCAGGTGCTTGAGGGAGAAGGGCGGCATTGAGGGAAGTGCTGCTTCATTTTCCAGAGAGAACAAAGGCACCAGGAGCTTGGAGGGACTTCCGAGCTGCAGCAGTCACAGTGCTCAGTCCTGAATTTTTACCCCCTGGGCTCCAGGGTGGGCCTCTCCCTCCGCTGCCCAGCTGGCTGAGTATCACAGCAGAATGCTAATTCCATGAGGCTCAGAGCCCTGCACACTTCATGCTTTGAATTGGGTTTTAGTAGTCAGCCCACTATTTGAGTGCTAGGTGCTGTCGGAGGAGTGATAAAGATATACAGAGCTTGCAATGCATTTAGGGAAGCCAGGTGTGTATGCAGGAAGCAGAAGCTCATTGGACAAGGCAGAGAGAACATGCCACTTGCTTACAAGGATGCAGACAGTGGTAAGAATTGCAGTTGTTCAAGGCCAGCAGGGAGGACCTGGGACTACAGCCGGGACTCAAGGATGTGCAGATCCCAGTAGGAGAAGGGTGAACGGTTAGTTTAAGCTGACTTATCTGAAACTGGATATTTCAAGACTCCTTTGAAAGACTCCTTTAAAATTTTTTTTTTTTCGTTAAAAAAAAGTCAGTTACCAAATAATGTCCCTCCTATATGATGAATTAAGGCGGGGGGGGGGGCGGATGTAAAAACTTGTGTTTTATGATTCCTTGTTGAACAAGGTAAAGCATTTAGGCTGTCCCCACCCCGTGATGGGCTCCGTCCCCGCTGCTCCCTAGCTTTGGCTGCTGAAGCCTGGTCAGAGTAAGTGGAAACGAGGGTCCTAGCGGAATTATTCGCTCTGGAACGCCCGTCTCCCTGGGCCTCCCAGTGACAACAGTGAGGAGTTCCAGACTTTCACTGGCTTTAAGGACAGGCTGAGACTGAACAGGCTGCACAGGGAAACTGTTTTCTCAGGTTGGGGGCTTAGGCGAAGCATGAGAGAAAGAACTGAAGGATGAACTCCAGGGAAGGTGCATAATATGTCCCCCCACATAATCTAAAATGACCTTCACATGCCCTCCAGGGTGGCCCCAGGAACAATACCCCTATATTCCTTCAGCTTTTACCTTGCTTTGCTTCCCAAAGCCTGCCTGACACAGGCGAAACCCTGCGTTATACTGTATTTCTCTCTGCTCTCAGGAACACGCACTATTTGGGGGAAAAATAAGGCCAGAAAATTGTTGCTATGGACTCTGTTTTGTGGAAGTTAAAATGCTAGAGCAAAAATCTGATTGCTTGATAGCTCCATCTCTCTCTCCCTCACTCCCTCTCCTCCTCTCTCCACCCCTTCCCGAGCTCTCCCTCTCCCCAACCCCCCACTTTTCTACTCTGCCCTCCTCCGTCTCCTGGACTCCCAGTCCTGCCTCCGCACCGGGCCGGAGGAAAGCCTTACAGGTTGTCAATGAAACATAGAATTATTCCCTTTGATGGCTTAGATAATAGTAGGAGCCAAAGCCATGAGTGAGGTCGGTGGAAACCAATGCAGTCCTGCCCGGGACCGGAGAGCCAATCGCAAGAGCAGGGGGCGGGGCGTCGGCGCCAGCAGATAATTGCTAAGTGCATCGCTAGCACAGTTGGTCGGAGCTGCTGAAAGGTCTGGTCGCAGAGGCAGGAACGCGTAATCCTCAGCGTGCTCCATCCCGGCAGCATCCTTCCAGGCTCGGCAGGGCAGCGAGCCTCCGGGCACCAGCCCCTGCTCCGCGGAAAAGGTACTCCTGCCTGCGTCCCTGTCCCCCGGGTGCTGCTCCTGCGCTGCCATGCAGGGCAGCCTCTGTATTGGGAATGCAGAAAGAAAAGTTTAGGCGAGGAGATGTGGCAAAGGTGGGAAACCACCGCCTTTTGTCGGGAGGAAGACAAGCTGACAATTTGGAAAACTTCTGCGCCGTCTGGAACTGGGTGTGTTTACTACTCTCAATTAGCTGCGCTCACGTCTGGGGAAATAGCTCTGGCGTTGGGCTATAGGGCGCCTGCAGGGCTGGGTGTGTAGACTCAGGTTAGTTGGGTGAAGGGAGTTGGACCGCGGGATGTAAGGCTTCCTGGTGGACCCATCCCTGGGAGGCTGGTTCGGAGAAACGTGATTGGTTGGCTGGGTTTTCCTCCCAGGGGGTCAGCCCCCTTTCCATTACCTTCACCTGCCTTCTCTCAACTATTGTGACCTTCAACCTGAGTTCTGGAACTGCTGTCTCCTTCCTACCTCTTACCCCTGGCCCACTCTGTCCCCGTGGATTTTATTTGGGGGAAGGAGACACTTCCTGGGGTGTGGGTGTCCTGTTTGACCTGGTGGGTGTCTGTGTGTCAGGCAACTTGGTGAGAAACCAACAAAGCAGTTGTCAGAGGAAAGAAATTACTTAATTGATTAGCTCCCGAAAACTCTGGAAGACTTTCCAGGCTCGGCGTGTACCGAAATGAAGGGGATAGAACTAAATTTCACCGGCGTTTCCACTCTAATGGGAGAAGGGCTATTCAGGGCGAAGCCTGCCAGCAGATCTGGGAGGTGGAGGCTCCTGGGGCTGGCTCCGTTCAGGTGCACAGGTACGGTGGTACCTTTGTGGCCCAGGAGTTGCTGGAGCCACCAACCACACTGCTTCTGAAGACTGCTCATTGAGAAGCAAAGCTCATCATGGCAGCATCTGGTTCAGCCTTGTGGCACCTAGTGCATTCAAATGGCGGGACCACCAGGCCTCACTTGCGCTCCGACCCCCTTTTAGACCGGGGAAAACTCCATTCCCGGAGCATCTGAGCTTCTGCCAATAGGAGGTTGTAGGTAGGCGGGCCTCCTAGGAAGCCAGGGGGAGAAGGTGAGGTGCTTGGTCTTGAATGAACTTCCTATCTGAATGCCCCATATCAGTTCCCCAGGTGTGTCCTCTGACCTGCTGGGGACCCTGAAGCTCCCGGTCTGGGGTCGGTCTTCCAGGTCCCGGAGGCTTTGGGGAATGCAGGTGAATTGTCTGACTCTGATTTCTCTCCTAGACCCGAAGCTGGGGAACTTGATCCCCAGTCCTGGCAGGAAGTGAACTTTCTGGGAGAGAGCCTCCAGCAACACCTTTTCCCTGTGACACCCTTCCCGCTGAGGTGCGGTGGGTGACAGCCTCCACTCTGGCGCCATGATTCACTTTCACTTTTTAATTCGTATTTTCTTTAACCTCTACAACAGGTTTTCCGCCACCTCCTTCAGGCAGCTATTTTGGGTGGGAGTTGTTATTGTCAAAGCTCTTCCCACAATGATTAAAAAAAACAGCTGCCTTTTTTTTTTTTTTCTGGGCAAGATACAGTCAGCTCTCTTTTCTGCACATGGTGCCTGACAGTCAACAAAACAAACTCTCAGTCCCACAAATTATAACGCCGTTGTGTTCAGGGGCCTGGAGTGGACGCTGGATCTTGACCGGCTGCCGGTGATAATTGGCCCCAATCCTCCTCCTCTGTGGTCTGTGGCGGGCAGGTGACTCCCAGAGAGCCCAGGAGAGGCAGCACCCGGCAGGTGGGAGATCTTGAAAGGGGCCACCTTGGTTTTCATGAAGACAGTGATGAAACTAGAAAATACTTTTGAGTTTGAGGGGTGTCTAGAAGAAGGAACAGGTAACAAAATTGGGGTCCCTTTCATTGAGGCTGATCTGCTGGGTTTTCTTCATGATAGAGGACATTAAAAGTAGGGTTTTTAAAGCAGCTTCTGAATGGTGACTCATGCAGAGAGAGGAAAAGGCAGGCTGGGGGCAGGGAGCAGAGGCACAAGTGGGACACACTGGAGCGCTTGCCTCGCCTCCCTCTCCTTCCCCCTCAGTTCTCTTCCCTTTAGTTCCCCATTTGGATCAGAGATCATTAAAATAACAACTTCAGACTAAAAAAAGCATCATAGGAGCTGGAGAATAATTGACAAAACGCAAAATACCGTCATTGTAACTTCACCTTGGGTGTCAGGGCATGATACCTAGATCCAGCCCCTCTGCCATGATCCTGTTTGGAGAATTTAATTGCTGGTGTGGGTGTTAGGCTGGCCAGTTGCTGTGAAGTAGGCACCTGCTTGTGTATGGAGAGCCCGGTTAGTGCTCAGGAAGTTAAATTTGTTAGTTGTTATTTCATCAAACATGGTCGCTTTAGCCAGGACCCTGGATAGGCGTCCTCCATAGATCTAGCATCTTCTCCCCCAAATTGGCCAACTAGGATTTCTCTCGTTTAACCACTGTGCTGTGCAGGGGTCGCCTCTTTCTGTTTTCTCAAGCGCTGGGTGACTTACCGGGCTAGTGAAAGTCCCTTCCTTACGTTTCTGTTCCTCCATCCCGCCTCCTTCCTGTCATCCCCTTTCATCATAAACACATCAGTAAATAATCTCTTTGCCAACCTGCTTTGATCTTGTCATTTTGTGCTGATTTTGCTGTTAAAGAAAACTGTCCCCTGAAATAGGATTGGAAACATAGTAGATTTTTTTTTATCAGAATAAAGTCGTTTAGATTCCTATTTTAAAATTTAATTTTGTGGTTTGGGAGAAATCAAATAAGCACGTTTACTGTGTTAGGTGTTTTTGTAAATGCTGTCGACATGCCTCCTTTTGCTTTGGTGGATGTGTGAACTCCCGGGTTATTCTGTGGAAGGGGGTGTCTGTCTGGAGGTTGGAAACCACCTGGAGCACCCCTGAGAGGTGACGAGGCTGGAGCATGAGGCTTCAGTTTATTCAGGAGAGGGTGAGGGCTCTGAAATGTATTCACCACACTCTGCTATTTTCCCCCTTCATTCTTCCCTTAGGAAAATCATTAGGAAATAGTTCCCCGGATTCACTTTTCCTTATACCTTTCTCCCTCCCCATTTGGGAGCTATTGAAGCAGGTACCTGAACAATCGTGTTTAATCACAAATACACGGTGTCCCCCCAAAATGTCTATACACTTTGAATTATTAATTCCAATGAGTTAAATCTGAAAAGAAATAAACATCAATCGAACGACCAGCTGTTAAAGTCTGTACATTTTGGGGGGACACTCTGGATATCTTCCTTTCTTCATTCCCTTCTGGCTCTTCCTTCCTGTCACTTAAGGGCACCCTAGTGGGTGAGATTCCATTTAGAGTCTGCTCACCTGACATCTGAAACGGTTAACCAGGGGACTCAGGAATTCTGGGAGGCACATTGGGCCGGCCCTGTGGGAGCAATGAGGTAATCCCTTCTCCACATTCAGTTCTACGCAGACCTCACAGAGCACCTGGGGTGGTGCAGCTCCCTCCATGAGACGGGCAGGGCAGGCGTTTCCAAGCACAGGCCTATAGGTTGCAAGGGATTCCCACAGGGCAAAGCCTTCCTGGCTCCTTTGTCCTGCCTACCCTCAGCCCCCTTGCATAGGACTGACCTTGAAAACGTTAGCAAGCAGTGAAATTTGTCTGTCATTTCCCCAGTTTCTTTGTCCTTTATTCTCATCTCACCCCCTAAATCTCTCTATCAAGAGTTGGAAAGAATCAAATCTACTTATTCATACTAAGGTGTGAACAGTTAGCAGTGCTGCCACTAGCAGAGGTATTTGGGTTCTTGATGGAAGTCAAAGCTGTTCATGGTGGAGTTTCACATCTGCTGGTGGGATGGGAAAGACAGAGTTTGGACAGGGAGTGTCTGAGCAATTGTGGCCCTTTGCTTTTCAGTTTCGGCGAATCCTGCTCTTTCCCACATCAAGGACACGCTGCAGCCACGCAGGGCACTGTGATGGCAATATTTGGGGTCCAGCCCCTGGAGCGTGGTCCCTCAGACTTGACCTTGGTTGCTGCACTTCCTTGCTCTGTCTTTCAGTTCCCACATGGAAAGCAAGGGGCTTGGACTAGTTGAGCCCTTTCTGCTTTGCCCGACCTTCTGCCTGGTTTTGTCACCCGAGTCCTATATCCCACTGGGATGCTACAGCTTCGGAAGGACTTGGAGCTTGCTGAGCATCCTCCAACGCGGGCCACCGTGCTCAGCGGTGCTTCAGAGCTAGATTCCATGAAGGCAGGTTGAAGGAATGGTGGATGTGAGACCGGGAGAAAAACAGGCTGAGGGGTGATGTAATAACTGATTTTGGTTTCGGAGGGGATGTTATATGGAGGATGGCGACCAGCTGTTCTCCATCTCCAGTAAGGATTGAACGAGTGAAAATAGACAGAAATTGCAGCAGATGGACTTAGATTAGGTATGAGGAAGAATTTTCCATCAGCAGGAGTTGTTAAAAAAGGAAGCTTGGGGAGTCTCTGTGATGATCTTTAGGAAATGGAGATTAAGCTGGAGGAGGCAGCAGAGGGCTGTGGGGAGGCCAGAGGCAGGGGCTGTCTAATCTAGGGATCCCCCACCCCTCCTGGCGAGGCTCCTTTTTCATTTCTCTGAAACCTCACCTTCACTCTTGGGCTGTCAAAGTGGCTGAGCATCACAGTCCCTGGGACGAGTGGGGAAGGGGTGCAGTCCCCCTGCACTGCCCCCCTGGGTGCTGCCCTGACCGGCAGGTCCTGCCTAGAGCTTGAGGATCTCTCCTCAGGTCTAATCTTTCATTTCCAGTCCTTGGCGTCATCACAGTTACCCGATGGCAGAGCTGGGACCAGAATCAAGGTCCTCCATCTCCCAAGTCAGTGTTATTTGTTTTGTAGCTCATTTTTTTTTCTTGTTTCCAAATGGAATAGACGGGTTGCTTTTTCTGGGCTCCTAATTTCTCTCTAACCAAATGGCAGAGACAGGGACACCTGCAGCTAAGCAGTATTTATTGAGTGCTCAT